CCCTCAAAGAGGAAAGGATTAAAATCAAGCCCAGGTGGTAGGGCAGACAGTCCGTTATTCGACTTGTGTTGGCAGCAGTGCTTCATGAAGAAGGGTGAGGAGATTTGGCCATTTCCTTCAGTCCCTTAGCATGCTCCTTGCTCACCAGCAATGTCAGAATACCATCTGTATCTCTTGTCCTCCTTTACTGTTTTTTCCTTCCTCCTAGAAGCAAAGCTTTGCCAGTGGATTCAAAGTGAAAAAGAAGTAATTCTGCTGAATTATATGAAGATAGTGTTTTGAGAGGAGATATGGTTAAGTTAGTTACTGGCTCGTCATCTATACCCATCCTTGGTAAAGGTGTCTTGTTCATAGTAGTGTGTGGTCATACATGGACATCAGAGCAACCACGCTAGGTCAGAGTAAAGCTCTATCTAGCCTGGTATCCTGGCTCAAACTATGATTTCTTGTGATACCTAGTGAAGAGTAGAACACCACCACAAATATCTATGACACGGAGTACTCAGAGCTTACAACTATTTGCTGAAACTAGATTTATTTAGCAACTCCCAGTGGATTTCTTTTCTATATGTTCATACAGATAATAAGAAAGGATGAGTTAGTACCTGTTCAGTAGTGGATGGAACTGGTGGAGTGGAATATGCAGTCTGTTCTGTGGTGATAAATGGAATATTGCTTAGTGTGTTGGCTGCTCAGAGAAAGTAATATCTGAGATACTCATAGAGGTGGTCTTGTCTCCAGCCTCTAGGAGGCTGGTTAATTAAGATGCTCAGCACAGTGATGCAGGAACGATTTTGGTGACATACCATGGAAAACAATGATCTGAAGTAGGGAGGTAAAGAGAAAGTTAGTGATGGAAACTTTGATGTTATAGTATGATATTAGTTGATGGTAGAAGTTAATGGTTAGATGGATAGGCCTCTTCAATATAAAAATCTATGTTTCTGGTAAAAGTTCCCAGGAATTCCTGCTCTGAGAAGTCCCAGAATGACAGAATCTGGTAGTATCATGCCATCTGCTTCTCCATCCTAGACCTACCAGAAGAATATCAATATAATGAAGCTTTTTAGTTTCTTTCCTTTCTAGAAAGTTAGGGCATGGTTCACTGTCCCGTTGAGACTTTCACTTCTGCCTCTGTGTGAAAGATGGATAAATGAAGGGAATAACACGACTGACTCGGAGTATTTCCCAGAATCTAAACTATCTCACTAGCTATTCTGATCTCTGAACCAAACCAACCAGGAAATCAGGGAAGATTTGAATAAAAACTGCAAAATTTCAAATTCTACTTCATCAGGGACCTGCATTAAAAGCTCTTAACTGATACACTACAAACTGTAAATGCAAAGAGGTCTATCTCTGGTTTGAATTTGGAGTCCTGGGCTATTTGCAGCTTTTGTGAGGCAGCTATAGTCTGGTTAGCTTTCCTCCCTGCCTCTCTTAGCTTCTGAGCTGTTCTCTGTTTCGTTGAAGATGGAGCATTCTGTCTCATTTCCAAGTCCCTCTGTGTGGAGTTTACAGCATGATTTTGCAGGCAGTATGTGATGCAGGCATGAATCACAACTCCCTTTAAAGTACTGCTGTATTCAATTCCCTGGCTCTTTCATCTGACTCAAACAGACTGCAGATTTTTGTTTTTAATCTAAGCAGTAGCCAATTTACTCCAGAGATGAGAATTTGCTGACTGTTGCTGCTGTTCTTATGCTCAGAATTGCAAACCCGTTGGAAAATGAGGCCAGCTCATGCATGTGTGTACAAACCTGGTTTCAAATCTGGCTTGGATTCTCTCTTCCAGCTCAGCAAGTGACTGACATGTTCACTTTAGCACAGCTTCCTCCCGAGACAAGCCGTGGGCTGTGCCAAAGTGCCGTGAGGTGTTCGCTGCGTGTTCAGTTGTACACCGGAGGCAGATTCTGCAGCACCCTGGAGACAGGGGTGAGATGAGGACAGTAGCAGCCATGATTCAGAGCTGCTTTGCATTTTGGTCTTGCTAATAGATCATACTGAAAATTTTTATTTGCAGTGAGCCAAGATGCAAATCAGATCCCAATTCAATAACACCCTTCCGTTATTGAAGTTATGTGAATGAAACTACTAAACCAGTATAGCTTCTGCTCAGTTCAAATTCAGGTATGGCTGAGGTTGTTGCAGTTCAGTCCATAATAGTTTATTAAAAAAATTCATACTGAAAAATACACCATTTAAATACAGAAATGTCCATGTGACAGTTGTAATCTTGCAACACCTGGCATCAGCCAGAGAAACACTTTTGCTCCTCTCTCCTTTTTTTCCAGTGGAGCCTCCTCATCACTTGTTTCCAGAGCTGTCCCACAGCCTGGCTCTTGGCTTCCAGCATTGGGCAGGGTAGATTTCAGGGGCTGTGGCTCTGTGCTGGGAACAAGAGTGGCTTTGGGAGAGGGCAGGCTTGTGATCTGACAGTGCTTTGTACATATGAGGTGATCAGGTCTCAGTGCATTACTCTAACATGTTAATGAAAGAGAGGGTTTTGTTTTCTTTTTTTTTTTTTTTTTTCCTGCTTGTTTGCTCTTTAGTTGTTTGGATCCAACATAAACTTTAACATGGAAGAAGAAAAAGCTGTAGCTGAATGTGACTTTCAGTTTAACTTGTCTGAAATACAAAGTCTGATGCAGACCAGCCTCTGCAGGTAGCCCTGACTTTGGTAACTGGCAAGAGCATTTCTAATTTAAAAAGCCTCCCTTCTCTTCCTGTTAGTTACTCCTCTGAGCAAAGCAGCTGGCATGACCTGGGCATGTTGTGCTTGTATTATTGCTGTGAGACAATAGCTCAGCCTGAGGGAAGAAGATAACCTACTTACTGTACCTTCTGGGAGTTGTTACAGTGGTACTCTAGAAACCAGTGTTTCTCTGAAGCTTGCTGAGACTATCTGAAGAGTTAACTCATAAGGTCTGGGAGATCAAAGGACCGAACTGAGGGCTATGTGTCCATGGGAGACAGGCTTTGGTCTCCTCAGCAGATGTGGCTCGTGTCATGTGGACTCCCGTTTGCAGCCTCCACCTCTGTATCTTCTTCCCCAGTCAGAACAGGGATATTCCTGCTGCAGAGGACAGGGCAACAGAGCACTGTAGAGGAGGGAAGCAGAAGGAAAGGACACATGTTCCTAAATACCAGGCATGGTGTTCAACAGCGGGTTCACTGCTAATGCGCTGTCTCAGCTGGCAGAGGTTGAGAGCTACCTGACCTAGCTCCAGCCCAGTGCTCTGATGTATCCTAAAAACAAGAGTATGCATAATTCAAGTGAAGAGGTAAATGGAGGTTATACAAGGTCTGAAGAGAGCAGTGGGCAGGGGTCCAGCTGGGGTCAGGTGGTTTGTTGCCCTCCTGCAGTAATACATCATTTGTGATATCAAAACTCTCAAAGAACAAGAAGCATTACAGCATTTTCTGTAGGGAAGGGTGACTGCTGTACTTTGAGGCAAGCATTTTGGGGACAGAGTTTAAGGTATCAAGACTGGCCATGCATTAAGTCAGGCTTGAGACTGCACTTTTCATATCAAAGCAACTATGTTTTGGCACAGTAGCAGTGGTCTTGCAGAAAGCATTTCCAGAGCTTTTTACAGATTTACAGAGCTACTGCCATCATGAAAAATACATAAGCAAGCAGTGTGAGGAAAGCAGATGGAGTATGCCAGACCTCTGGTTACCTGACAGCAGAGGGATTCTTACTAATACCATCGCAGCTCAGTGACACCAGACACCAGGGAAGGTGCAGTTTATTCTGGCTCCACCAGAAACAGCTATCAGACCCAAAAGAGAATTTTAGCTTAATGAACCTGTCATGTCCTTGTACAGGGACAAGTGAACAACATTCACTTTCCTTGCTGTGCTTGAGTAAAATAAGAGTTTAGTTGCTCTGAGTTACTAGAAATGCATCTTCACCACACAGTAGCTGTAAGTGAATTGTAAATATACCAGGCATGGGCAGTTCCCACGCAGTGCCTGAAAACATAATTTCTGTAGCAGCACAGTTCTGCAGCTAACCTAATAAATACTGGTGTTAAGCAGGGCTAATTATCTCCACTGCAGCACTGCCCTGGCATGGCTGTATGGCTTCTCGCTCCAGAAATTAGCTTAGCTGGGGCTTGTTTGGGTGTCTGCAGTCCTTCACGCTATGGTGAACACAGACCCTGAGCAATGCTTGGTGGAGGAGCATCTCATGCATGCACTGGACTGCAGTACTACTCTGCTCTTAATGTGATGGAGAAGTGCTGGACTCCAAAGCAATGAAGTCACTTTACAGCTCCTCTTGAAAATTTGTCTTTGAGTTGGGTGAAGTTGTGGTCACCTTAGACCTAATTTTGGAACAGTGAGTCCTCATCTCTTCTGAAAACAGTGCTTGATAGTATATGGTGCCTCTGAGTAAAATGTTGACCAGCATGGTCCAAGTTGTTGTTGTTGTTTTTTCTATAAAGCAGTTACCAATGTCATATGATGATTACCTTCCCTGACCTACAGGGGAAACAGACTTCTGTCTCTCTGCTTTCATTGCCTAAACCCAACTTAATAAAAAGTAGACGTTGGAAGGTGATGTAAAAAGGTGTGTGGAAAATATTTGGGGATTCTGTAACTCAAGATTTTGAAGATCAGATAAGTAAATTGGTAAAACTGGCTCAGTGTCAGCTATTTAAGTGAGAACATAGATAAATAATCACACATCTTGTATCAGCTGGGTTTGTGCAGGTTCAAGTCCAGTTATATCTTAATACAGGTTAATACATTATGTGGAAAGGATTAGATGAGTGTTTTTTGGAGACCTAATCCCAGTCAGCGGTATAAACACAGTGCCCACTTCTGTTGGTCTGTAAGGAGTCTCAATTTGTTTGTCTCAAGATAATTTCAAGATCACTCTTGTTCTTAAGAGAAGTTGCCCTGAGGACGGGAGATGGGGGATATACCCTAGACCAAGGTAGTGCGTTTCTTTTCCACTAATGCTTCCAAATGTGGCTTTTTTCTTACTGTAGTACTGGATAAATGAATACACCTCCACCTTGGGGATTGGTGTCTTCCACTCTGGCATCGAGATCTACGGCAGAGGTATGAAGTATTTCCTTTACACTACCTGCAGAACATGGGGACAACTGTATGGCTAGGCTGATATGGAAAAGCACCCAAACATAGAACTTTTGGCAAGGAATCTTTAAAGTAATGAAAAACCCAACCAGTTCTCTTTTTAGAGGCCATTGTGGAATCCAGCAGGAACTCGTGCAGCTCTGTCATGAACCATGTAGCCCTTCTTATTTTCAGCCTGTAACTGCAACCTCTATAGCTTGTGCAGGTGTGGGGCGGGATGACAGATAGGAGGGACCAAGCCATGTTGGAAAGCCGTTCTGCAGTGAAGGAGGGGGAGAGAGACTGGGAGAAATGGGGGAGGGGGAAGAGTTGGATCAGCAGCTGTCTTGAGACCTGCATATGCGTGTTTGTGCTAATCCTCTGTCAGGGTAAATCTGTTTTGCAGTAATTCTTTATGAATGTCTGTGGTCTAGAAATCTTGGAATCTGGATTTCCAGGTCTTGGAAACCGTGCACACATTGCAAAAGGTGCAGTCAAGGGATGTGGGAAAACAGCTGTAGCGCAGTGAAGGACAGACTAGCATCACAGACTTTCTGTTTCCTTCTTCAGCATTAAATGGGAATGACTTGGGCTGCTCCCTCATGGTATTTTTAGTCAGTGCCATGCAGTAGACAAACCCCTTGGGGTGCCATGTTCCATCTGGAGCACAGAAGCTTTCACAGGCCATGCAAGATGGCCTGTATGACACGGAGGGGACCTTCTGGCTTGACCTGTGTGCTGAGGCAGTGGAGGGCAATCAGCTTGGTTTTCTGCAAAGAATTCCCACTTGCTGCCTCTGGAAGATGTGATTTCTCCCTACTCTAGAAAAGACTTCTTCCAGCTCAGTACCACCACTGACAGCCTCTCATAGTTTATCCAGATGCCTCTACCACAGAACTTTCCACTGAGAGGAAGCTACCTGGATGGGCACAGAGACAGGCTTGGAGAGTTTTCCCGGCGTTGTGTAAAAGCAGTAGTGTTAGCATGGAGGGAGGCTCTGAGGGCATTCTCAGGATGACAGACAACCGGACAGTGAAAATGGCTTTCAGAGTCTGGCTAAAATGCACTTTGACAATAGCCCTGCCTGTGGTGCTGATGCTGAGCTGTGCAGACAGCTGCCATAGTCTTTTTCCTAACATTGCGTTCATTCAACTACTCACGGTCTGTTTCTTTCCTTGTCAGAGTTTGCCTATGGAGGGCATCCCTACCCTTTCAGTGGGATTTTCGAGATCACACCTGGCAGTGCGGTAGAACTTGGCGAGACCTTTAAATTCAAGTAAGGGCCCTTCTCTACATCTTCTCCTCTGCCCCCCATAGCCACCAGTGTAGGGGGAGCAGGGAAGTCCAGTCCTCTGGGTTCCCCCTTCTCCTCTCTTCATAAGTGCCCTCACTGCATCCTTTATGTGATCCTGGTTCAAAGGCAGCCCTGCAGGCATTTTGGAGGTGAATAATAGAGCGTGTGCACCAAACACGGAACAGTGCCGAACTGTGTTTGTCAGGGTTTAAAAGCATAGTTACAAATGAATGCAGTTCTCTTTTCCTACGTTCTTTCTTTTCTGTGCTCCCAGTTTCACCTGCCAGCAAGAATAGGAGTAACTGTGTTACACAGAGCCAATGCACAGGGGAGAAAACAAAACCTGGTCATTTTATGAGTATCACCTATTTGTGGATACTGCACAGAGTACCAGAAGTCATCCCCTGTGTTTCTTGCTACTCTGTCACAAGGGACAGACCAGCTGCTAGAGGAGCCTGAGAGGATGCTGCATTAATGTGTTGTTCAAGGTTGTGGGGCTGCGGGTCAAAGAACTGCCCATGGCAGGTGGGGCTTGGCCTTCCCAGACTGCCAGTTTAAGTTGCGTGTTGTTGGAGACTTCTTAGAAGAACAGGCGCTATTGAGTGAATATTAGGAGAAGCAATAGGTTTCTGATTAAAACTTTTAGTCTGCTCCTTCCTGGCCCACCCCACGGAAACCCAATCAATTATGAAAAAAGCATCCCCTCTGTCCTACTGGAAATTTCTACTGCGGGACAATGGGCAGAGTGGGAGCTGAGACTTCTCTGGTGGTGAGCAGGAAGCTCTCAGGGCTGTTGCCTGTGATGTAACCTGCTTTGTGGACAAGCTGGGGATATTACTGTGCCATTTTGTTAGTGAGAGCCTCTGATAGACCCAGTTATGACTCTCCATGTTTTAAGCCTATCCTTCTTGGCAACGTCTGATCATTTCCTTCTCCTTGGGGATGTATCACTCTCCTCACTCTATCTTTCCATGTTTCCTGTTGTGTGTTTTGTTTTTTAACTAGAGAATCCATTGCCTTGGGCACCACAGACTTCACAGAAGAGGACGTGGATAAGATTATGGAAGAGCTGGGAAAGGAGTACAAAGGAAATGCGTACCACCTGATGCACAAGAACTGTAATCATTTCTCTGCTGCTTTGGCTGAGGTGGGCATATATATATATATATATATATATTTTTTTTTTTTTTTTTTTTTTTTATTTTTTGCTACTTCAGATCCATACTAGTGCTCACTGAAAGGGAACTGGGGTCAGCACAGCCTGCCAGGCCAGAGCCCATAGCCAAATTTCTCATCTCTGCCCTTAATATTTTTGGAAGCCCTTTGCCATGGAAAGGGATGGGATCAGGAGGTGGAGATGCAGCAGGTTTATCATGCATTTGGTCTATACTGTGTGGGAATTTAGGAGTGCCTGCATTTTGTTTCACAGAATAGATGCTGAGCAGGAATTAGAAGGACAGACCTGGCTAGCATGCAAATGTGCATCATTTTAATAACAAACACAAATAACCTTACATGATCTGCAAAGGAATAAAAATGGCTTATCAGTGTTTTGCAAACAAAAATTTTCAGCATTCAGGAAACGGGTGTCCCTTTTTCTTATTTAATATGCACCATCCAAAATGCATTTAAAAAAGTATTGATTTTCTCACAGACATCTTTGGTGCTTATTCCCTGTCGTGTTCACAAAAACACTGTGAATTATAACACAGCTGTTATTTCTCTTCAGAGAACTGAAGCACAGAAAAGCACAAATTTATCCCAACTATCTGATAATTTGGGATATTTGATTTTCCCGAAGATCTGATTATTTTGGGGGGAAGCTGCCTTCTTCCTCACCCCCCAGATAAGATGTCTAAGTGTGTTTCAATTAAGGTGTAAGTATTCAGCACTTGTGTAAAACTGAATTCAGGATCTTGGCCCAGTGCCAGAAAAGGATGAGAAAAGTAGAAAATGGAAGTGACCTTCCATAAAAACTGTTTCTGTGCTTCCATAGGTGTTTTATGGAAAACACAAGGAGACAATATCATTCTTCACAATAGAGTTCAACTGCTTTAACAGTGAAACTTTAATTTCTCTTTCTGGAGTCCTCATGCCACGTCTCTCCACTTTCTTCATCATATGGGGAAAAAGTCCTATGTCAATAACCTCTTTTGTCACACATGCCTATTGATCCCCAAACAGGCCCCTCACGGATCCCAAGTGACACTTTTTTCTGTAGAAAAAAATACTGCACAATTTTGTAAGAAAATCCCTAGTGAATCCAAGAACCAGCAATTCATTTACAAGGGACCTGCTTAGGCTCTTAGGAAAACCAGTTTCCTATTGGCTTAATCCTTGCTAACCAGACAAAGAAAAAATGACTGAGTCCTTTCTGTAAATGTTAGCAAATAAAAATAAACAGGAAGGAATTGTATTGGTACAAACAGAGAATGAAGTTTCAAACAGTACAGTAATCAAATCAATGTTAGCCACACTACTGTTTTGAAGTCAAATAATCAAATTACTTCAACAGAAAATGGTAACTTTAAAAATTGTGAAGGAAACCCAGGAGAAACTTGTGTGATTATCAGCAAGAGTTTAAAAATTGCTCTACCTGCATCAGTGAAAGAAAGTCATTGCTTATTACATACTTTGGTATGTAAAATTTCTGTCTCATGTCCAAGCCATAAGCTCAATGCCATTCTTCCTTGATTCTGCTGCTACATATCAGTGAACCCTTCACTGCCACTTCCTTGTCCAACCTTCCAAAGACAAGTTAAATAAGAGATCTTAATAAAAAACTACTAGGGTATTTTAAATTTTGCTTTCAATATGCCTGCAGCAAACATCTTTACAGGAGTGGAATTTAGGGTTAAGTTTTCCTGCAAGAGCTTTCTTGATGGATTCTGTGTACTCATTCACCGCCCTATAACCTGTCCAGATAAAAAACCAAAAGCCTAAATGGCTCGTTCTGACACTTCTGCCCCCAATAGCAGAACTGACTCAGGATTTAGGTCAGTTTAAATAAACCTTTCGCAGGGAAGCAGGACTTTTTGTTGCTGTTGCTCTTCATACATGCCTGTGTTTATCGCCCCTCTCTAAAGTATTACAAATGGAGAAACAGAGGAGATGCACTTCAGGCCTAGGAGCAGAAGGCCCTGGATAGTCTCTAGCATCAAGATATAGAAAATGGGAGCTGAAAATCTTAAAGAAATAGCTGGTGTAAAGACACTAAGGAAAAGTCCAAGCCATTCAATACGCCTCAGTCAGCAACATGAAAAATACATGTGAGTGCCTTATGACAGATGTCTCCATCCTTTCTGGTAAACAGTAATTTGGCAATCACCGTGTTTCAGAACTGGGTGAGAAGTAGCATAGCTTATCTTGGGATACCTATGACCCCTTGGAGGAAAGACTGCTTGAAATTTGTTGAGACAGAACCTGCTTCAACTGAAAGCAATCAAAGTTTCAATTCTCATTTCCCAACATCTGAATGCTTGCTTAACTTTATAGCCTTGGTGCTTTTTTTTTTTTTTTTTTTTTAATTATTTTACTTTTTTTTTCCCCTTCTTGTAGTTCCCATTAAAACTAAACAAAACAAAAATTGCCACATTAGGAAGCTCCAGGGCCTACCATGTAGATCTATACTGTGCAGCCTTATAGTGCACAGAATGTGCTGGCTATATGAAGAGTGGCTCTCAAGGCTGTGTAGACATGTGTCACCATAGAGGGCATAAAACAGAACTGATATTTGTGCCCTAAAACCAATTCTGAGAAGAGTCTGTTTAGTGTTTGTACTACCCTTTCCTTCAGACTCTTCACCTGTGAAGCAGCAATAATAATATTAATAATAATGAGCTTCTATTTATGCAAAGCCACGTTATATGGCAGTTAAACACAGGAAACTGGAAAAAGTATTCAAAGATTTAGAAGATATAGAATTTTTTTCCAACAGAATAAAATGGCTCAGTAGAACTGGGATTTAACTCCAACCACACAAAAGGCAGCCAAGCATTTTGAGTATAAATTCTTGGTGTCTCTGCTCCTGTAGCCCAGCTGAAAGGTGGTGCTCTCAGTACTGCAATGCCCTTTCACCACAGACAGGGATGGGGGTGGAGGCTAATTTTTAGCATGGAGGAGGGAATGAGGAGCTCTGCTCCCTGCAGCCCTGGAGGCCTTTCTGCCCAGGAGGTAAACAGTGTGGCGAGTTCAGGAGATTGTTGTTCTGAGCCTCCCGGGTAATGCCAGGCAAGTCACATCCCTGCCTGTGCCCAAGCATCACTCCTTGTATGCTGGGTTATTTCCTTCCTTTGAAAAGGGGACTGAAATATTTTGATGACAGCTCTCTTATCTGCCCAGGTTAATTAGCTGGTTTATGACTTGTATTGTTCTGTATCAGCACACAAAACCAGAGCTAGAGCTTTATAGCTGTGTGGTGGTGTATGAGTTAATGTGTGTTTACACAGATCTGTCTGGCAGGCCTTGATGTGCTAGGTAGCTCTATTTGGCTACCTTAATTTCCTCACCTGGCTGTGGGCTTGCTAATTAGTATGGGTACAGATGTCACAGGGTGGCTGGGCCATGGGTTGGGAGGACACCATCTGCTCGTACGGACTGAGGGCAGATGCGGCCACGGGTCCTGCTGGCTGAGGTCATGGTTCTGCAGAGGGAATGGGAAGAAGGTGTAAGGATGGGTCTCCCCCCAGATCAGCTTTCTCGGGGTTACACCATGAGACAACAGCCACCTGTCTGGTTGCCAGGACCTGTAAGCCAGGTTCCCCATCCCCAGAAGGACTGCTGAAGCCACAGGAGTCTGGCTTTATTTTCAAATTTTTGTTTTCTTGTCCTTTACCAGTGTTTTCTCAGCAGACAGAACATCCATTCAGAAATCTTCCGTCTACACCTGTCTATGAATGATTTTTCTGTCAAATTCCTATTTAATACAATGATACCTCAGGTCCCACCATGATAACTGGTAACTGTTATATTTAACAGTTACGCAGGCTGACTGCTAATGGTTAGCGGCATGTCCAGACCTACGTTCATGACTCTGCCATTTGGCTATGCATTTTGAAAAATCCCTGGACAAGTCCAGCAAAAGCAGATAAGCTCTACTTAACCACCTGGCATGCCTTAGGCCTGCTATCTATCTCTGGAAAAACTCTGCAGTGCAATTGCAGCTTAATTGCATGCTGCTGTGGCATTGAGCCTCTCCCTACAATACCATGTATCTCTTCTGAGCCTTCTGATCTTGCTGCCCCCACTCACTTGTATAAGCTGCGAGGGACTTTGTTACTCCCTCATTGGCACTTAGATCTGAGTTTTCCTTACTCCCTCCTGCAGACCGCCAAGCATATTCATACTTGCTCAAGACTTAGATCTCTCCCCACTTTGCCAGTTCCCTATGGACTTCTAACAAGCAGCTACTGGATCAAAGAGGCATGGCTGGGTCTACTCACAAAGCAGCTCCTGTGGAAAGAAAACAGAGAATGCCCTGGTTTCAGCAGCAGCAGTTCAGACATCTTCTCCAATGGCATTTTATGGCAGCCTTCTCAGTAAGTGATTCAGTGAACATGCTGCATGATCAGGAGTCTCTTCCTGTGGATTTCTTGAGAAATTCTTCATCAGGGAACTTTGGGTTATTTAAGATGTGAAGAACTACCAGAGAGCAGAAGTATTGGCCTAGTAAGTGCCACACACCATCTTAATTAGTTGTGAAGAAAGTTCTGATGTAAAGCAGGGCAGAATTTCCTAGTGGATAGTCTTCAGAAAGAAATCAGATGCACTCCCTCTGCATTTGCCCAGCTTCAGTTTAAGGTCGCTGGTACACATAACACTTTAAGGTCTCCCTTTACTCTCACATCTCACATCAGTGTGGGAAGATGAGAGGAACTTGATCTAAGCTGTGAAAATCTAGATAGGGTTCCCTCAGTCACTCTGACTCCTGCAACATGGTCCCATGGTACCTATATTTATCAACCACTCAAGCAAATTGTGGGTTAAAATGAAGAGGTTAATCAAACTGGGATTAGCATTTTGCCTACAAGAAGCTTATTCCTTTCATGTTGCTTATGTTGACAGTCCCCCAAATCAAGTAGTATCAGTACCACTGAAGAAACTGTTCAGGAGGATGAGCAATCCCTTTGGGGGACTTATGCTTGCAAT